TTATATTTATCTTGCCAGATGCTCACAGAGAACTCATTCATCAACTCACCACAACATTGGTATTGTACAGATCTTCAATAAACAGCTAACTAAACTGCATCCAACGACCAGAAAATGAATCTGTTATGTGTCTGTGTACAGTATGATCAGTATGATTTAAACCTAAAATAATGTCAACCAGAATCTAGGACATTGAAACATCCAAATTGCCATTAAACTGGAGTAGCATCAAGATAAATAGAATTTGAAAGAATCCAAAAATAATCCTGAATTGTCTATTGACCTGGTTTGTCGTCAATATGTGAATAAACACAAGTGGCTAAATCAAAGTTGAGTTTGTTTCACCATCATCATATAACAGTTATTGACCTTATACTGTATAGCTTTATATAGAGATACTTTGTGTTTTATTTATTTTTTTGAAAATGTTATTTTGTGTGAAATCTTGTGTAAATAAAGGGACAGTGATAGAGCTGGGTTCTATTTCTTTGTAAATAAATTGCAAGATATTGTTTTGTATGAATTTGCATGGGGGGCTACCGATATTGTCCACAAGGGTTGCCAAAATAAACACTTGAATGTCCTCGAAGTTGCGTAAAATGTTGCTATCTCTTATTTAATGTGTTTAGAATAAGGTCCATACCAACATTGATTTGTAAATGATTGATTCTGAAGTATGCAAATGCGATTTTTCAAATTATGTGATTTCATCCTGTATTGGAAATATATAAGCTTACCAGTTTTCCAACTCCGTGGATCCATCTCCGTTTTAATCTCCATGTTGAGAGTTTCTGCTTTTACATCTGTTATCTCTCTTATGGTAACAACACTGCAACTGTCAGCGTGCGCAGTGGGTGCAGCTGACTCTGTAAATGTTAATAAAAAGCATATGTCAGCTGCATGTTGAGGTTATACGTAGCTGTACACAGGAATTTAGAGGCCTTACTTTGAGGTGCAGGGTTGAAAATCTGCTTCAGTTGCTTGTAGTGCGCTTGATTCTCCTTCAGGATGTCTAAGAAAGAGTGACAGGTATCGTCTCCCTTTGTAATTATTATGCTCAAAAGCACTTCCATCTTTTCTAATGCATTGCTTTGTTTTTGTGCCTCCCGAAACTCGTTCATGAGTAACATATTCCCACACTTGGTGAGGATAAAATCAGGGTCCTCTGAAAGCCACGTACAGAGTCTTGCCTTCACGGACTCCAGTTTGTCCATGATCTGCAACGAGAGAGACATTATATTCGGGGTTATGGCAGTTTCACAAATACTTAAAGTATCAAACAAGAGCAAAGCATTAGCCAAATGGTGTGATATGATTGCCTGTGGTGTGTGGTGTTCATCATTTTCTATAAACAACATTCAAAAGACAATATGTAAAAATGATTTTAAAATGTTATCATATTGAGACCATGGCCATTTTGTTTTACATTTGTGGTGACACACAAATGTGTTGATGTTTGTTATAAAAATTGGGGTCAATATATTAATACAACACAAATAATCTTCACTGAAAATGACTGAAAATGTATCATACTACAAATTAAAAAGCTTTTGGTTTCACACAATAACAATACTAACAATACCATTTTATAATTACACAATTACAACGCAAATGTTGTGTGCCTGGGAAAATTCTAACTTTACAAAAAATATGTAATGTCCAAAAAATATAACACATATTTAATTACGTTGCCTGAAATTGTATAGTTGAAGATTATAAAAAGAATGTTCTTACCCCATGTCCTAACCACTTGTTGGTGTTGCAATTGTTTGAGTACAATATGTTTGACTGTAGGCTCTATTTGCTCATTTTACTTAGGTTAATAACCTGAGTACCTCTTCCACCTCTGAAAATAACCAGTGTTGAGCAAGTTACGTGTAACTAGTAATAGTTTAGTTACTATATTATATTACTTTAAAAATAATAACAATAAAAATACAAGTTTTTGTGTTGTTTCACTGCTTTCACTGGTATTTTGCTGACTAGTTCTCTGAAGGCAACATACACGACCGTTGCGATGGGCAGCATGTCCTCAACAACATACCTGGCAATCAATCTGTTTAGTTGACTCTGGGTGACATGTGGCGATTTTAAAAAATCGTTTTTTGGCTGTTTAGATGGTGTTGCTCCATCTGGTTGAGACGGTGGGGTCTTTGGCGACTAGTTTTATAGCCCCTTAGGTACTTCAGGAGATTGGCATTGCTGTTATTCGATGCGGACAATGCTTTCTGTCCTGCACACAGTTTACATTTGACCCTAATATTGTTTGCGTCCTTTATCCCCACAAATTGAAAATAGTGGTTATATCTCCAAGTTGTAAATGCGCTGCTGCTCTCGCTGATACTTGCATTTGCCATTGTGTGTGTGTGTGTGTGTGTGTGTGTGTGTGTGTGTGTGTGTGTGTGTGTGTGTGTGTGTGTGTGTGTGTGTGTGTGTGTGTGTGTGTGTGTGTGTGTGTGTGTGTGTGTGTATTTTTCCCCATAAGGCAAGACCCGCCCAACTCTGTCTCTGATTGGCTTACCCTGAAATGTTACCCCGCGTTAGTCAATCATCACTCCTCTCTGGTCACTTTCACTTTTCCATGGTACTGTGAGAGGACATCGCTGTATTCGCCTGTAAGTTACATCCGCAGGGAGATTCGGTTCAGTTGGATCACATAATGTAACGCAGTAACGCACTCATTTAAATCACAGTAACTACTATAACAGCGTTACTGAATGGGAATAGGTAACTAGTAAGTAGTAACGTTATTAGTTACCGCAAAAGGTAGTTGCGTTACAGTAACGCATTAGTTTGTAACGCGTTAGTCCCAACACTGAAAATAACACCAATGTCTCTTTCATTTGTTTGCGTTAAATTAATATGATCTTTAAGAAACTATTAACGTTTTACACGGTAAAGTATTTTGGAACAAATAGGAAGTCAACACTTTAAGGTTGCTTCATAGTATTTATTTTAGTGTTACACGTTGGTAGATTTTAGGGTAAATGTGGATTTGTTGTTCCCGGGTCATTCTACAGAAAAGGTGGAAGTACTGTCACTTACTTTTGCAGACACCAAAATACATGATGTTGACCTAAGACTCACATTCATTATATATGTTGAATAAATAGAGATTGTCTTTGCAATGGTAGGCTACTAAATAAAAAATGGTTTTATACATAAATTGCAATTTATTTAAAATGCCAAGGTCAAGGAACTGCCTTGTCACTTTGATCATACATGGAAGTGGAGCCTATAGTTTTAATTTTTTTTCAATAAATAAATCTAATTTATATTTACATAACACTACAAGCATTACATATAACACTGAAATGGTAATACAAAAAACCGCACATTATTATTAATAATATCAAATAAATGTCAGTCACCCAAAATTACGTCATTGGTGTAACTTACTGCTACACAAAACGCTTTTATTTTTTAAATAATGTACTGTCTCTGAAGTGCCTCCTGTAACAAGAGATCATTTGAGGCAGTGCAGTGGACAAAGACATAAGGAAAGTCAGATCTTCTTACTTTGTTTGTTAAAGGTGTCATTTTATCTTCAAATTTTACATGCGTCTTTCAAATCTGTCATTAGTGTTACTCATTGCATAGCCCTAGGGGTGAACATTGGAATGGGAAAATGTATTGTATTGAAGAGTTAAACGATTTAGTTATTGACTGAAGCCACATTTGGTCTGACACATTGCAGCCATTTTGTTAAAATGGTAGTGTTTTCTCCAAATTGTCACTGGTTTTACCGTCACTGGTGTTACTCTTCTTCCTGGTAACACGTAACACCAGTGACGTTCCTATATAAATAAGCTTTGTATTGTATAATGTATACAAATAATAAGAATACTTTAAGCTCTACTTGTTGTGGATTCATCAAGTTAAGAGTTAGTTATTGCTACAGGTTTTAGATGTTTTTAGAAGGAATATATTTCAGCAGATTTGTATCACCCAGATTCCACCTTTTCTGTAGAATGACTCCTGTTCATAAAAAACAAGAACCGAAAGTAAACGTGTCTTTGTTGTTACACAATACTATAGCGTAACTGTACTTTACCAACACTTTACTGAACAAATAACGCACATAACTTACCTTTTATTAGCGTGGATTATCGCACAAAACCAGCAGGAATCAAAATGATTCTAAAGAAAAGTTTGCCACTTAGAAACAAAAAGTCTTGTTTTCCCTCGGATTACGCACACTGGCATCAGAGAAAGCACTTCCTCATTCTCTCAGAGTTTGGGCAAACAGCCCATAATGCGCACTGCAAGAAGGCGTCATGCTGCTCTGACGTGGACATGTGCTAAAGTAGCTTATCAATTATGGTACTTATTAGAAAGAATTATACGGTGAGGAAATGACGGCTCAATAACTACATACAAAAATCTTCATATTAATACAAAATATATTCCTCCAAACCATTATTGTATGAAGTGATTCTAGTAGCACTACACATGAAGTTATTGAATATAATAATAACAATTCTCCAAGATTATTTGAAAGCATACCAAACTAGCAAGAGACCAGTGAGTGAGGTTGTGTTGGGTCAGGTGCCCTAAACTGTAAGAATGTGCAGTTATTTAATATTGTTTGCAATAAAACTTCACCATAATTATCCAGGAGCATATTCCTTCAAAAATAAATGTTGTAGTATAAAAAACACATTACCATTATTTGTGTGATGTGATTTGGTAGCACTACACCGCATGACAGAAAATGACGTTATATTTTTGAGACCTTACTACGGTTGTAACGGGACACTGTTTGTGTAATGTTTATAATCCAATATGTTTTCAACTTTATCAAAGTCTTAATAGTTTCTGAATGATCTCCATTGCAGGTCTTAAGGTTGTTAAATGTGTCATAAAAAAAACAAGCTAAATAATGCAGATCTCAAAGATACATTAACTCAAATCTGGCTATTGCAATATATTATAAGTAACAAAACATAGCTTTACACTGTATTTTTTAAAGTAAACAAATAAAAACACTTGTCACCAAGGTCAGCTTTATTTTATTAAAATACAATGAAATGATTCACCTCATGATGATGTACACAAAAAACATGCATACACAAATATGCAAATCAAATACAAATTAAAGAACATTGTTAAAATAACAAGAGTTCAATCATGTTCAGTTAGCCATGGTAGTCCGTCTGTTATTCTGACCTCATTCATCTCAATCACATTGTGTCTCTGTCCCGTTGGAGACAGATACATAGGGTAATATGCAACTCATCGGTAGGAAATGATCACTGACACTTTGCAAAATGGAGTATACTGGTTAAAGACATTTTACAATTTTGTACATGTGCAACAGCTTCCACGCACAGACTGTGTGGAATCTGATGGGCCTCTAACCCTAAACCTGGATCGGCACCTTGCCATGCCCCACAGATATAGGTGCCAGTATTTCACCTGTCCTATGGGTCCATATAATCTAAATTGATCAGTAATTTAAAAACCTTACTGTGAGAGCCGGTCAAAATAACACAGCTATCTTTTAGTCTTCATGTGTGGCATCGACCTACTGTATACGCTTGGTTCATGTACGCCCTGATAGTTTGGTCATTAGAATAAACCAAGAAACAAGGGATTGACCCGCACATTCGCCTGTCCTCTTGCCACCTGGAGACCAATCTGCAAGGGAACAGAGCATGCGGTAACCCTGGGAGATGTACCAATATTTGGAAAACATGAATCTGTATAAAACAATGTCAAAAGTGGCAAACTCTTGTTTTTCCCAAATATCTGCAACTCAAAACATAGACGTCTTTGACACAATGTCAATATTGTTATCTCTTCACTTTCTGATGATGTTTGTTAATTGTTTTAATGTTTTAAATGATACTTCTGCAATGTGAATATCTCACACATTGCACCTTTAATGTAAAACAATTAGCAATGAGTTAAATAAATGACATGCCATAGCTGTTTGTATGAACTTAGAAAGCTGTTTCTACTGTGGCGGTCCTTGTGTACTGCTGGATGAGCTTTTGATAAAAGTGTTTTTGCGCTCCAGTGGTACAGCCCTCCTTCCAGACGGCTGGTTCAGTTCGCTCATGTCCACTCCTGAGTCTAAGCTGGTTTCTCGACTGTCGGCCGGCCCCCGTCTCCTCTGCTGATCAGACACTGCGTAATGGATCTCAGCTGCAGGTTTGCCCTCCATCGATACAAACCAGGCCCTTGGAGACTGCGCCGATGGGATTTTAGAAAGCTCTCCCAAGGCGGGCACGGAGCGTCTGCTGCCCCGGATTTTATTCAACGTTCCTGGGACCGATGCTGACTCCGTGAGGCTGAAGTGACCGCTGGATGTGTTGGAGGAAGTTGATGCCTCCTCTAGAACCTCGGACTGGTCCTCAGTTTCCACTTCCTGGTTCTGGGTGGCAGAGGAACCTTTTGCCGGGGCCTGGGAGAACTCGTCTTTACTCAGTGGATCTGAAGCGGCCGACTTGCTCCACTGGGCCTGTTCCTCCAAATGGAAGAATGCCGGGGCGTGAAGAATGGCAATGGGCTGGTTGTAGAAGAACAAATTCTCAGCCAGAGAGACGGGAGCCCTGATCTGATCCGTAGGGTCATGCAGACACATCAGATCGTTCAGGTCAGGGTTAAGCTCCACTCCGCCACACTCCACCCGAATGGCCACGGCATTGGGGTTGGGTATGACATTGCCATTGTGCCGATTATCCCCCCTCCCTGTAATGGTTTGGTTCAGTCCATTCTGTGGATGAGAGGAGTCTAGTGAAGCTTCTTCAAATAATTCATCGTCACATGTGGAGGTGGTTTTGTCTCTTCTCACCGCTGGTAGGATCTTCTTGGTTTTAGGTTCACTGAGCGAACGTCTGCAGACAATACAAAGTGTGTTGAGTCTTATTCAGTGCCAGGCTAATGATAGTAAGAACTTTATCCATAAACTCTACATGATTACACAGTACAAATATACAAATGTTCACTCAATTGGGCAAATATAGATTTGACTAATATTGAAGGGGTTTTAAAGGAGTACACCACGGAACATGATGGGTAACACTTACATTGACGTGAACATAACTAATAAGTGGTAAATTAGTAGTTAATTCAAATTAATTTTAAAGTTATTTAAGTAACATTTACATTGATAAGCTATAATTTGTTATTTTAACATGAATTACAGTTGTATATGCAACAAAACTACAATATGTGTTTACTAAAAACTACATTACTATTCAGAACCATGAAAACAAATGTTCTTACCTAGAGGATAGAGATATATTTTGATATATGTTTTGCCCTCCCAGTGAGCTGGTGAGATATTTTGTATTTGTTTTACATATTTATATCTAATCAAAATCACAATTTATAGTATTCATGGAGGAGTATGAGTTGAATGTTTCTTTTACCTGCGATTACATAATAACCCAACCAGAAGACAGATGATAATAACAAGCATCCCTCCCAGGACAACCATCAGGAGAGATGAATGGTTTAAGATGAAGTCAATGGGGATGGCAAGTCCAAAGAAACCTAAAGCATAAAAATGGTCAGAAAAATAAGTTTGGCAGAAAAATATAAAACATACGTACATGCAATAATAAATAAAAATGAATAAACTCAGTATTACATCCAAACCAAAAAAAAACTGGGTTCTAAAAAGCGTTTGCCAGGGAATATCTTTCTTAGTTTCTTAAATGTCATTTTCCAAAAGCTGGGGGAAAAAATACCATCAAAAAGATCATTAAATAAGATATTTAATTTTTTATAGCAATGCCAATTCATTTTGTTCTAAACAAAATTATCATAAATATGTTTTTAATGCCGGTTTACGAATAAAAAAATACGAGAAAAACATAAAGCTCTGAAAAAAATAAAGAGACCACTGCAAAATGATCAGTTTCTCTGGTTTTACTATTGATAGGTATATGTTTGAGTAAAATTAATTATTTTTTTAATTGATTCCCTAAACTACTGACTCTGTGTCAGTGTTGGAATGTAACAGACACTGGAATGTAAAGCCATACATGTAGACAGGGCCGTATCCAGGATTTCCTAAATACCGAGGTCCAAACATGTTAGGGGGGTTCGGGGGATACCCCCCGAGATTTTGGGGATTTTCATGATCTCGTTAGGTGCTTTTTAAGTCCTGTGGGGGGTCACACATTGGATAATATATTGATTTCAAACCATGTCAGTGGGCTGACAATGTCAGCATCAATTATTTTTTAAAGTGTAATACATAATAAGAATCAGTTGATTGTTACTATTAATGATCTGGACATGCAGAAGAGGCTAAAATGATCACAACACATTGTCAACATTCATTTTCCATGTCTCTCTCCTTTCTATAACCTGCCCCCTCTCTTCCATCTTCTTTAGTCTCTCTGTCTTCTTCCTGTTCATTACTCTCTCTGTCCTCTACTCTTTCTCTTTGTTCAATCTCTCCCTCGTTGTTTACTTTTTGCTCCTCCTCACTTGTCGCTCCTGCCAGTGAATTAAAAGCAATTCAGCATTTTAGTTCATTTCACTTGTTTGTTTGCACTTTTTGTTTTATTTAAATCTGTTTTGTTTGAATCTCAAAAGAGAACAAAGATGTAAGCAAATTGTGTTTTATACAATTGTATGTTATTATGACATCATAACTGCAATAGATGTATGTTGTTTAAAAATTATGCCTATTGTAAATAAAGACTATTGTTATAGATAAACCAGATAGATAAATAGATAGGGTTATTAAGCATACATTATTTTGTGTGACTGTACCTGCAGTTCCTCCCTGACTTCCATCACTTTCTCTCTCTCTCTTTTTCTGCCTGTCCTGTCTCTTCCTTACCAACGCTGAGCTTCGACTGACGTCTTTTCATTATATCTGAGTCAGTGTAAAAAGAAAACAATACAATGTTATATCTTCAATGTTTTACTCAAATTGAAATGAAAGAAAAGCATTATACGTTTGAAAAGGTAATCCTTCTGACATTGGATGAATGTAATTAACTGTAGCTCTCTAGCTAGTTTATTCCAACACACTCTCACTCCCTAAGCGTCCAGGAGCGACGTTTGGTCAGTGTCCGTGGCGTCCAGTTGTGACGCTCCTAGGCTCCTTCAGCGTCATAAAGGGACGCAAATAGCTTTCAACTGATTGCAATGTATTCCCATCTGCGGCGGGATTTGACGCTCATGGAAGCACGGCATTCGTTTGTGTCGGCTGCCCTTAAAGGCAATGTGAGCGTCCATTCTCATTGGATAACGGAGAATTGTACACCCGGAAGTAAGTATTCCCCTTACTGTCGATTGATTTTACAGTGATATCTGCACTACTCATCGACTAAAAAACACCAGATTATCCTTGTTAATTACACAACATTGATTGGTTTAAATTGTGTGCTATGCTTTTGTATTTTTCCCCTTCGATTCGGAGAAACAAATATTTTTTCGGAGTAAAGGATGGCAGAAGACACTACACTACCCAGAATCCCCAGCTATCGTTTGGACTACACCATGTGCTCTGTTTGACAAACCCCGTGATAGTCCTCAAGCTCTGTGATTGGAGAGTGTGCTCCGAGGGTTACGCCGATTCTCCAACAGCACTTGAAATGGGATGGAACCACGGCAGACTGTCCAAAACTGGATTTGAACGGGTCCACCGTATTTCCCATAATAAGAAGTTGCCAGTATTAAACTGTGTACATCCCTGGAGGTTTAGGGGATAGGAAACACTCAAATGTAAAACATATAATTAATAAATGGGTGAAAATTGCTTGTGCCCATAATGGGCAGCATTAATATATATATATATATATATATATATACACACATGCCAGCTAAGGTCAGAAGAGCTTTATTTAACAGCTGGTCTTATGTTTTTGACCCCTCCTGTTGTTAATTGATAACATTACATTACATTACATTAATTGATAAGCCTGAAACATGCACTTGTCAAGGTTCAGAGGCAAATTTAGCAAATATGGCAGTAGCCATCGATCAGCTTAAGATAAGATATACTTTATTGATCCCAGGTTGGAAACATTTGCGTTACATCAGCATGTGTTACAGTTGTACATATGCAGTGGTGTTTATTTGTAAATTTAGTATAATCACACAAATTCTGTGTTTTTATATTTAACAATTCTGTGTTCTTTATTTATTGATTGTTCAATACCTGAAAGGCCGGAGATGAAATATCTACATACATCTTATAAGAGTATAATACATTATGTATAATATCAGTTAAAATAAGTGCTTCAACATAGTTAACATTGCTGGAGGTACGCACAAATATTGATAGATGTCTTGTAATGCGCTATTGAGGAACCTGTGACCCAAGTTTTTCATTCAATGCAGAACTACACCATAGTTGTGTAGGCCTATATGATATGTCAATAAACCTTAGAAAATCTTGAAATCTTGAAAGGGATGTGCAAAATAGTAATTATATACAGTCTTTAGTGAACTATTAGTAGAGAATAACGAGTAATTAATATACTTTATAGGGATCCTATTAATATCTAATAATAAAAATAATGAAATTCAATAACATGCTTTAACCACTAGGTGTCCCTTTATATCAGCTGTGCACCTTTATGGTGTAAATACAGCCTATCTACCAATTGGATCAAATATAAAAGTCAGCCGAATTAGTATTGATACTGCAAGGAGACGTATTGTGTGAAAAGAAATGTAAGATATTGTTTAATGGCTGATATATTTATGATCCACGTCACGTTTTCAGTTCCTCATGTTTGTCTAGAAGTCTTCTCATCAGGGCTCTATAAATACAGAACTACGGCAGATATGTAATATTGAATGCAGCCGAACCGTGTATTACAATGCCGTTATGTGATGACTTTCAAAGAGAAAAGCAAGCACACTCGGAATAAAGTATTATTTTATTTTATTTAAATGTTTTCGGTCTGTTTCCGGTATTTGTTAATGACGATGTGCTGTGAGATGTGAGACTGGAATTGCACAGGGAAAAATAACGTAGGCTATCTTTAGATGCGGATTTTGTTAAACTAATATGTTTGCGCTGTGGACCAACACTATACATTGACGGGGAAGGGGGTAGCAATAAAGATAACACCATTAAACAGTTACACAACATAACAGAAATAATATCGATAGCAGTGTCCCTAGCAACCACCTTGGTAACAATGAAAACGTCGCGATTTCCTGAAGTAATCTTCGTAATAACTAGCAAACTAAAGATCATGTACATCCACTGCACACATAATCTGAAATAACAACTCATATTTCTCGCATCAAATGACATCAAAACGCATTTTAATGGCCAAACTAACTTTAAAATAGGCATTTTCCACCGAGAATAAAACGAAGTTCGGCCATGTTTTCTTTTTCTGCAGGGAGAAATTTGAACATCACGTAACATAGACGCCAGCCATTGGAATGAATGGTGAAAAAAAACGGGTTTGTCAAACAGAGCACATGGTGTAGTCCAAACGATAGCTGGGGATTCTGGGTAGTGTAGTGTCTTCTGCCATCCTTTACTCCGAAAAAATATTTGTTTCTCCGAATCGAAGGGGAAAAATACAAAAGCATAGCACACAATTTAAACCAATCAATGTTGTGTAATTAACAAGGATAATCTGGTGTTTTTTAGTCGATGAGTAGTGCAGATATCAATGTAAAATCAATCGACAGTAAGGGGAATACTTACTTCCGGGTGTACAATTCTCCGTTATCCAATGGGAATGGACGCTCACATTGCCTTTAAGGGCAGCCGACACAAACGAATGCCGTGCTTCCATGAGCGTCAAATCCCGCCGCAGATGGGAATACATTGCAATCAGTTGAAAGCTATTTGCGTCCCTTTATGACGCTGAAGGAGCCTAGGAGCGTCACAACTGGACGCCACGGACACTGACCAAACGTCGCTCCTGGACGCTTAGGGAGTGAGAGTGTGTTGTTTATTCACGCTATTTAAACCAAAGTATAGCCTGTAGCTGCAATATAAGTTAGTGTGCATGTTGTCGGACGTCCACTGACTAACGTAGAGCGTTCACACAGGATTTGCTGGTCATATGATGTCCTGATGAACAGAAACACAAGCAGCCCACTGGACTCAGATCTCTAGATACTTCATCACTCCTTCGCTGCTCCGATACAAGTCCGGGCTGCGGTGGTTTGTTGATACATGTCGTCTTCTTCTGTTTGCTTTAATCGAGGCTACGTCGTTATGCAGCGCCCCCATCGGCAGTAATTGGAAGTACTACAAAGAATCCCGTTTAGTGCAATTATTTCACAAGTTTTGTTATACACAGCTCGGAAAATATTACCGAGGTCCGGACCTCGGTGACCTCAATGGTGGATACGGCCATGCATGTAGAGATTGCGATTTTAGACACATTTGAAGTAGTCTCTTAATTGTTTCTAGAGCTGTAGTTTTGCAAATATAACCTTCCTACTAACTCTACATGTTGCAAAGATGGAAACAAAAATGCAATTGAAAGATTATCCTGGCATAAAACAGGAGAGAAGACAATTTAGATTCAACTTGAAATTGTTGGAGCAGTTTTTCTCATCTCTCAAGGCTTTTGTATGTTCCAGGCCCATTTGAAATGATTATAGAATATGTTTGTCAAAATGATCACTTCATAAATTAACACAACTATGTACAATGTATTACCATTACATTGCCATACAGCTAATTGCCAAAGATGGTAGTATCAGTAACACTTGAGACACTTTACATAAGCTTACGATCATTAGCGTTAGCACTTGCCTCTATTGGGTGATAAAGGCGCAGCGATCCAGTAACCCAGGTGAGGAGCAGTGAATGTCCACATGAGCTTCCCCTCCACTGACACCACTGTCCCCAGCCCCTTCCTCATCCATCCACCTAGAGATAAACAACAAGACAAACACTAGTTTGTATAAATCTTTCTTCAATTACCCACAAACAACAAAATCCTGTTAGATGTTCAAGTAAATCAGCTTATTACTTTCCAAAGACATTGAAGGTTAATGAGAAGGGAACATAAATGAAAACACTTTGGTTCACCCAAAATGAGATTGTTTTGACTTTTCACTTGACAAAAATATGGCAAAGATGGCAGCAAATACATATTTCAGTAAAAAATGTAATACAAATGCACCGGGTTCTACACATGAGGCTCCAACTGTATTCTCTCTATAGTGGTGGCACCAGATTTACAGTATACATTATAACAAATTAAATAAAGGACAGTAAATTGAGTTTAAAACATGTAAGTTCTATATTTGAATTTCATAATTTGACATCTTCTTACAAAGATGACTATAAACGGTTTGCTAAAGCCTTTCTTTTTGATAGATGTCGATTCCGGCCAACTGAATGACTTTGCAAAGTCAAAACATTTGTTGAAAAGTCATTCATTCCAATTTGGAACTTGCCAGGGAGTGTGAGAACAAAGAAGGTAAATGAGTTGTTGTACCCAAGAGATCAGAAAAGCATAGCTTAGGCTGTTCATCAACTGTTTTGCACATGGATTGTCATCAATTGTGAACATTTTCAGACTGTACTAGTACTTCTTGAGATCAAATTAGGCTATATTTTGCCCGTGATATAAAAAGCGTTTTAGTAATGGTGCATGTCTGTTAATGACTGTATACAGTACAGTTTATGGCCTACAGAGATGTGGAAATACTACTAAGCTACGTCTCTCTGTGCTGCCTAGGGCTGGGTCAGTAATGTTTCAAATTGCTTGCGATGTTAACTTCCGGGTCGGCCTCCAAAAATACGACCTCGCTGCACTGTTATATTAAGCTACATTTCCAAGTAGAGGCCATACAATAAACCTTACTTTATCTCCTTACTCTCCTAAAATAAAAATGGGCTAGTCTGATTGTGATTTCAACTTACCAGTAGTCCGGTTAAAGAACCAGGCCGGAACAACCTCGGAGGTCTGGAGTCCGCGGCTGTCAGGAATGCTGAGGCTGATCTGAATGCCCCCCCCCCTCACATGTAACTCAGTGTCTCCTGAGAAGAGCTGCACACTGACAGCTGCCACCGGACTCAACTCCAAACCAACGTATCCTTAACAACAAAGTAGGTGATGCTTGAGAAGGATTGAAATAGTCTTGAATAAAATAAACACATACATATACGTAGTGTTTATTCACACATAAACGCCTTAGATACATGGTTCCAGTTTACATGGTTATTGTTTAAATCTGATTATTAAAGCCTCAGATGAAAAATGAATGTTTTTTCAAAATGTTGTCTACCTGATTTAGTGCTCATGATGCCCAGAGTGTTCTGGAAGCCATCCTCCTCTGCCGGCAGCTTCGGGACGGTCAGGTAGGCTCTGACAGCCGTGGCATTACTGCTGTCGCTCAGATTCAGAAGGCTCTTGGGAAACTGGACAACAGGCTTTGAAGAAGCATCTGCAAATGAAGGGAAAACATGATCAATTACAGTTTGAAAATGTGCTTTGTAAATCATTTGTAGTGCAGCTGTCTTTGGCTAATTGAATATGTCACTTTAATCAATGCTTGCACTGAGAATCAAATACAGAAAAAATAATTAGCAAGAAAGAAAGTGACTCTAACAATATATACATTACCAGATGTTTTGCCAGTGATCAGGACGGAATCATCATAGAGCCAGATGTCCCCCTGGTTCAGACCAAGCAGTGACATGGTCAAGGAGGAAAATACTGCAGAAATGTTAAAAATAGAGGAAAAATACACAATTAGCAAAAAGCACTTCAATGTGATGCACAAAGTTTCTTCCACTAGATGGCAGTGTGATATGTTTTTCTATCAAGCTTTACACAAAAGCAAGCTTATATCATCTTTGACCATAAAAACAATGGATCATGATTTAGTTATTTTCTGTCATTGGAAAACAGAAGGGGCAACAGAAGACGACACACATTCCATATGTGCACAGGTTATATAATGATCCCAGGTGTTTCGCTTGGGTGCTCTGCCTAATATGGTGTGAAATGCAGAGAGGTGAGGCTAAACTTGGTATTGCAACAACAACAACAACAATGAAAATCACAAGGATGTAAAGCTTATACCTCATGTCAAATTCGTTTTTTACATGACCTGATAAAAGAAGGAAAATATACTATCCATCCTTTTTTGTGTTTACGGATTCACCGACAGTTACATGTGACTTTTGTGTCCAATAAACCAGCCTGCTTTTCGCAAAAGACATTCAAAGAGAAACACATTTTGTTCCAGACTAGGTTTCTCTTGAATTGACACATGTACTTTTCTAAAGAAGTCTGGGGAAAAAGGATGTTTTGGTGGAAAGATTGGTGAAGCAAACACAGGACTTCTGTTATTTAAATTATGTAACAAGAGTTCAAGTTTAAGCCAGTCATGTTCTTTTCCCAAACCGTTTTTAAAAAAAAAAAAAACTGTTTTGTTACGTTTATGTTTAACGTTGACCATTGGTTTAATACTGCGACCATAATATAGCAGACAATACATATTCCTGTAAATGCAATTGAGAATGCAGTTTAGTTGTATAGGAATGTTCCATCGTAGGACTAGGAGACAGGGTTCAGTAAACACACACAAGTGTAGTTATATAATTTTTCAGAGGGGGAAATTATGTAATTGGTTGGGTTTGACCTCAACAGGCAGAGCGCAAAGAGAAATAAACTGTCATGATGAAGTGTACTGTAGCCAGTGAATTGAAAACATTTCCTCTATTCTGGGCAGTCTAAAAGTACTCTCCTTGATGGTGAGAGCCCAGGATGATGCTCCATAAAGCTCATTATCTGTGGTGATTCAAACATGAGATATCTTACTTGGCATTGGGTCGGTTTTACACGGCAGCAGTGTGCAGATATAGCCATCCTTACTGGCCACAAGTGTGATTGTTGTTCCAGTTTGGTAAGGAACGTGAAGCAGAACGCTGCCGTCCCCCCCAGTGAGGGCAGTGGTGAACAGGGTGTAGTTGATGTAGACCTCCACCAGCGCCTGGCTCAGGGACTCACGACTCAGCACGTTGTTCACCTGGACCTTCAGGTTAAAAGCAGGATCTGGGGGGGGGGGGAATAAAGATCAGGTTAAGAAAATAACTGGGTGGTTGGGGAAAGATAACTGATTCTATAAAAATGTATTTACAATTGAGCAAGAACCTTGATACTTATTCAAGTTGCACATTATCGACATGGTGTTTTTTAACCATAATATCTTACAATATGATGTAGTCCACTTTAACACTACAAATGGTCTCAAAACTGACACTTCTGACAAAATGCCAAATCCCTTATTATTTAGTCCACCCCCTTTATGCAGTGTGACACTTTAACAGAATGGAGTTGGCTGCATTTGCAATTAACCTAGACAGGACGTTATTGGCACCAAAAAAACGAGAAGTAATTTGCAGAATCCCTCAAGGTTATGAATCGATTATTCCCAGTTTATTTTACAGAGGTGGACACAAAAACCAAATGTTAAAAATGGCCATTAACAAGACAATGTTAAGTTACATCAGCATGCAGACGGGTAACTAAAGTACATATTTCCAATAATGTGATTCCAATTCTGCAGCCCTAATCATTATATGTTTTCAAGTAGTTCCCTGATAATCTGTTTCTAATGTAGATGTGTCACCTTAACCACAAGCCCAATTAGTCACTCACACAGTGCAGCAACTCCCAATAGTGAGTCCCATGGCCATTTGAATCAATAGTGGCCATGTATACACTTCCTCAACATTGATCAATGGGTATCAGTTATTAAACAGTGAGAAACCTGCAACTTCACTGACTTTCCACTTACAACAAGCCTTGATAACGGCGTACCTTGCAGCCGATTATTTAACTGCTAATGTAAGCATTTTGACGGATTATGTAAAGTTGAAACATGTGCTTGTTTAATGCATTAAACAGAAATCAATTTGGAAATAGAAGGATGGTTTATTAGAACAGAGTGGATATAAAGAAACTATCAGAAAATAACAAAAACTTCAGTGATCTCCATGAAATGTTTTCTTTTTTAACTGAGTCTTTTGGTCTCCTTGATTTTATCAAATGACTGCATTTAAAAAGGGGGTATCACATTTAAGTTGAAATTATTTATATTATAAATAAAAATGTTGTTACAATATCAGTCATGCCATTTTAATAGGTTATTTGGTTTGTTAATGTTTCTACATTTTTGGGGAAATGATTCCATTAGCTTCTCCTAGCAGCAGGACATAATGAGCTGATAGCTGGTGACCACAGAGGAGCCTTTAGCAGCTAAAGAGACAGACATTTCTCTCCGGATATTGTGAGTCAATATTGGATTTGTGTCAGGTTACTCTCATGAATGCTAATGTGGAGCTGTAAATAGGCAACTGTGTGTAACTTGTATCTCCTTCTGCTGCCCTTAAGTGGCCAAAAAGTCAATTAATGCAACTTTAAATGTGATGTTATGTGCAGGTTTGGTATTCCTAACACCTGCATTCATGAGTTCATAGCATAGAACTAGCTTAAAACAGCTCAATAATGACAACAAACTAAATACAAATAAAGCGCACTCAGAGAGCCCCGCAAAGGCCACATTGCATGAAATAATGCATGTTAATGCTATTTTTTCTTCCTCGCCCCATTAGAATTGAGCCAGTGATTTTCTCTAATCCTGCTCCCAAACATCAATTTACAAAGCCGAAAACATAACCTCATATTTTGATATATATCAATATAATAATATAATATATATACTGTATAAGACTAGTTGGTTAAATCTGGAACAAAGGCCCCATAACAACTGCTCGTAAAGTTACTGAACACTGCTTCATAGAAACTCCTCCGTACTGAGAGTACTTTTCAGAGGTGCAAATCTCTGCCAGCACCAAACTATCTTCCTTCACCTACTGCCCTGCTATAAATATTCTCTACTGAAATGTACTGCTCCAATACAGTGTGGCCCGGAAAATGGAGCCATACATCTCAGCAGCCAGCTCATCATCCAGCCTCCAGTTACAGAAGTTATTTAGTGCTAGCAGTCCATAAAAAGGTCCTTATTGCACATTTGATCACTAACTAAATGCTGAAACATTGCTAAAGCAGCAATTTTACTGGTCATAATGTCGTAAAGAACTCTTAAATGGGGACAATTTGACAATTACAGTAGGTGTTTTTTGGTCTGATTATCTGGTTTTAGCACTTTCTCAAATATTGCTAGTAGCATAAAGCCTGGCTTCATTAGTCTTCAATGAAGCTATTGCAGGTCTTTTAGCAGCTATATAATTATAGCAGCTATATAATTACCCCCATAACAATTCCCTTTGATCAGGAGCAGACAGATGCCTGAAGCTGCCAGGAGGGCCTTTATTTTCAGCCACAATATTAAACACTACATTTGGCAGTGTTAGTGTCCGCCCACTGGGATACATACACCAGTGCAGATGGACATGAGGATGCTTGTTTTGGAAGAGTCATCTTGATGTGTGTCTATGGCCAAACATAACAGAAGGGGGTCACTAAATCTGAAGTGGAGGTGTTTCGTGCCAGATTACTATAATCTCCCCATTTGGCGAACTGAACCATGGCACAAAGAGGTTTATGAAGTGGATTGAAATGGGCTGCTCAAGGCTGCCGAGCAGATGACAAATAGATCCCATGTTGTGTGTGATTTGGCTTGAATACTGTTATTATTGGGCAAATGACAGCACTCATCCAGTAAAGAAAATTCATAACTCCAGAGATATCAAACCCTTTGTTAGATAACCCTTGCTATGTCAAACGACAAATGACAGAGCTACGTGACCCAGAAATGAAGGCGGTAAATAAGAGAACGGCAAGCTGTTATGAATCAAAAACACAATTATTTGTGGCTTAACACATTGCAATTTGCATTGGCTGACATATCAAGGAATTATAGCGTTACATATTATCTTGACAACAAAATCAAGATGAACAGGGACAAGCACAACCATGTTGACCAGTCAGTTCTGTGAGACAACCAGTCAGCGTAAACAGATGGTCCAACAGGGACTTATCTCTGCTGACCCCTCACCTACCCCACATACATGCATGTTTGTGTGTTGGAATTAGGCCATACATTCCACTGATGGAGACAAACACAAGAGAACCCTTTGATATGTGGGCCACCAGGCCTCAAGCACGAGTCAGCAATATCTAATCAAACTGACAAAAGATGCTTAGGGTGTCAGCGACAGAGGGGTGTCAAGAAGATGTAATGTCTGAGCAACCACCAGTCCTGTTAGGGTAGTTACAATCCTCCACTGGGGGAACTTATTCAATCTTAAAGTCTGTCTCCAAATGTAAAGGGCAACAATGAAGATGTTAATCTCAGCATGGGAGAACTGACCATCTGGTTCCAGAAAATAGGTGTTTTTTAGCCTGTTTTAGGGGAGGGAGTCAAATAGTGATGCTTGGGTAGTGGCTACTGGTACCTTGGTTGGTTATTGGCTAATGGTTACACAAGCCAAAAAAATCGTTATGACATCATAAAGTGGCAAAAATCTGATCAGTTCATTTTCAGACAGGTTTTTATATAAATGGATCAGGACAAAAAAGTGAGGTAATCTTTTTTGCCGAAACGTACACAGAGGGGACACATGTTTATGTTTAAAAGACATGAACAACAGCAACTAATTGCTACAACATAACTGTGACTGTTTACCGAGTGTTAACTATTACTGTTTCCTTAGCTAACCATGAGTAACAACCTTAAAAACAAATAAAAACAACTCACGTGCCTTGTTTGCTACCGTCAACAGACTAACAAACCCCCCAGTGTCGATGGCCTCAGAATTTCTATCCACCAGGGCCTGCAATGATTTTGCCTCCTTTTTCAGTGACAAAATCATGCAAATTAGACAAGCAGTCAGTGCCTCTGCATCAGGTACAGCAAATGTGTTGTCCCTGTGCCCACCTAAAGCCATTTCAGACACCATGTCACAATTCCGTCTGATAAATGCTAAAGACCTAGAAGACATTATCCAACATCTGAAATCCTCCTCCTGTAGCCTCGACATCATCCCGACAGGATTTTTCCAAACCGTTTTTCATTGCTTGGCCTCAGATATACTTCACATAGTAAACAAGTCTCTTCAATCAGGTGTATTTCCACAGGCCCTGAAAACTGCAATAATTAAACCGCTCCTAAAAAAGCATAACCTAGACGCAACCATAATGAATAACTACAGGCCAATATCAAACCTTCCCTTTTTAAGCAAATTGATTGAAAAAGCTGTTTTTCAACAGTTGAGTACTTTCATGTTTTTAACTGATGGTTTTGATGTGTTTCAGTCGGGCTTTAGACCTAACCACAGCACTGAGACTTCACTTGTAAAGGTCTTAAATGACATCCATTTGAACACAGACAGTGGCAGAATATCAGTGTTAGTATTATTAGATCTCAGCGCTGCCTTTGATACTGTTGACCACAACATATTGCTAGACCGTCTTGAAAACTGGGTGGGAGTTTCAGCAACAGCTCTAAACTGGTTTAGCTCCTACTTGAAGGACAGAACAAACGTTGTCTCAATAAGCAATTACAAATCAACCCTGATAAATATGTCATGCGGGGTTCCTCAAGGCTCCATCTTAGGACCTTTGTTTTTTAATATTTATATGCTACCACTGGCTCAAATTATTAAAAACAGTGATCTAAGCCAGTGATTCTCAAACTTTTTTCAATAATGTACCCCCTTTGAAAAAAAAATGCAGCCAAGTACCCCCTGATCAGCGCAACAACTATTTGTTGGGGAAAAAAGCCTATACAAACAGGTCCAGTGCAGTGCTGCACCATCAGTGTCTGATTTATTAAAACAACAACATTGTAACTGAGAAACACTTAAATGCTACATTTAAAATGTTTACAATCCATCACTAAATTCATTGCAAACCAATTGTAACATCGTGCAATAACACTAAGACGACATTAGTTGCATTGAACTGATCTTTTTAATAAGTTGTACTTACAATATAGTGAGAAACATGGGCTTGTGCTTCACTGAGGATCTTTGTCATTCTGACAGGGAGGCTAACTGCAGTTATTACACTTCGTGTCTTGAAATATGTGTAACTCTAGTATATCAATATAACACCCACACTGCTCAAACTTCGTTACTTTTCCTAAAATTGGTATATTTATCTTCTTTTTTTTATCATTAACATAAAAAAAATCTCACGTACCCCCTGCAGTACTCCAACGTACCCCTAGGGGTCCGCGTACCCCCATTTGAGAACCACTGATCTAAGCTATCACATCTATGCAGACGACACCCAGATTTATTTTAAAATTACACCGGGAGACTACTCTCCGATTAGAACACTGAGCAAACGTGCATTGAGCACATCACTGACTGGATGACTCTTTCTCCAATTGAACAAACAAAAAACTGAGATCATTGTTTTTGGAGCAAAGAAGGACCGATTAAAAGTAATCACAGAGCTTCAGTCGGCAGACTACAAAGTAACTCACAAAGCAAGAAATCTGGGTGTTGTGATGGACTCAGACCTGAATTTTAACAGTCACATTACAACAGTCATTAGGTCTGCATACTACCACCTGAAGAATATATCAAGGATTACAAAACTAATGTCACAGCAGGATTTACAAAAACTTGTCCATGCTTTCATTTTCAGTAGACTCGACTACTGTAATAGTGTATTCACAGGGCTCACTAAAAAATCGATCAGAAAGCTGCAGCTGATTCAGAACGCTGCTGCTCGAGTAGCTGCTCACTGACACTAGAAAAGTGGATCACATCACTCCGGTTCTGAGATCATTACATTGGCTTCCAGTCTGCCAAAGAATTGATTTTAAAATACTACTGCTAGTTTTTAAATCACTAAATGGCTTAGGACCGAGGTATATAGAGGACCTACTCCATCACTATGGCTTAAGCATCCAGGAGTCTCAGGTCTTCTGGGTCGGGTCTGCTCTCTGTTCCGAGAATAACAACTAAACATGGAAAAGCAGCTTTTAGTTATTATGCCCCAACAATCTGGAACAAACTACCCAAATCGTGCTGAAACACTTACGATTTTCAAATCCAGACTAAAAACGCATTTGCCGCTGCTTTTAATTGAGCTGGTCATACTCACACTACAGTATGCCTTTTAGTCTGTACCTGCTGTGTTTATTTATTTATTTTATTTCATTATCTTTGCTTTTTATGCCTGTTTTTAAATGCCATTTAATAATGTATTTATGCTGTATTTGTTCTTAAATGTCTTTTTTGTAAAGCAATTTGAATCGCCACGTGCTGAAAAGTGCTATATAAATTGCCTTGCCTTGCCTTAACCTTCATTTCATTTAATTGTTTATTTGAATAGGGACAATGCACATTAATGAACACTTAAGACAAATAATGCTTCAAGTGTAAAAATGCCAGATTTGAGCTTTGAGCTAATTTCCATCCGTAGTCCCTGACATACAACATATAAGAACATGACATTTATAAACATAGCAAAAAATACAGTGGGACAACAGCATGCTTGGGTGCATTTCCAAGTGCTTCAGTCAACAACACAGACTATGAGGATCATGTGATGACGGATGGTAATGTACTCCTACAGCAGCATGAATTAATCATGAATCAGTTGATGAAAAAGGGTCACAAATCGCTCTTTCTGTCCTCTCCGCCACTCAGCTGTGAACAAGAACATTGTCATGACAAGTGCATGCATCTGTGTGTGACTGATGAACACAGAGAGATGCACTCTGTGGGGGGGGGCAGGGGGGTTTTCTTCTTTGAAAATCACAAAAGCACATAAATTGAATAACTTGAAAAAGGGAACAACTTGCTGGAGAGAAGAATGAGTCTGCTAACATTTGATTTGATTAAAACGATAATGCAGTTAGTAACATTATGGGCCTTCTGTCATGCTTTTTGAACACCCAAAACAAAATGTACTTTTATAAGTAGCCTTTTTGTGCTTTTATGAAAATGTTCCCAATAATTTACGATGTTAATATTGTGATAATATTGCAAATGCACATTGTTAACTTGGTAGTGATGCTGCAGATAAATAGGAACAGATGGACAAACCGTTAGTCATGAGGGGACAGCAGCAAGCTCCCACGCCACTTATTATTAGGCTACTCATGATCAGAGGATATGCAAGTAAATCCTGGCACAGATGGTCTGATCCGACTAAATAAAGGATATTTATACTAAAATATATTAGAAAAACACGGTATGGTGATGTGTGATGAAGTCGAAATAACAACTAATGGCAGAATTCGACATACATCCTTATCCTGCTGAAATGTTATTTAATTCCCAGCTCTAATGACACACATCAAGCACAATAGCGAAACACGTTCAGTTTACTCAGTTTTACACCGATAAGATTGCGGTGATGGTGACACAGTGAAGCCCACACAGACCTGACAGCGGGAGCAACACTTGTTGGTTCTGAAAAGCCTCTTGTTTCATGTGATCCCGGTCTGAAAAGTTGCCGTCATTGATATGCAGAGGATGTCCAGGCGGAGTGAACGCTCCCTTCGCTTTCCCATCTTCGCATAGGATCAGCGCAGAAAACACACACATCCACAGACGCATGGCTCTGCCTCTGGAGAAGAGAAGTGTTGATGGAGGTCACCGATGACTCACAAATCCAGTTCATCCAGTTAGAATCTATACATTGTGGAGGAACAGAGATGAGCAGTGTGCCGCCATCCTAACCTCTAGTCTACACTGTCAGAGCAGCGAGGCCCCGCCCCTTTAAGCTGCTTCCATGGAGATCCGCTTTAACCAGATATTATCATGATGACTGATGATTTATCGACAATAACATGCATCACACAAGCGAATACAGATATGGTTTTGAAGGTAGATTCTTGTTTTATTTTAAAAATAAAAATAACACAATGTATGATTATATAAAGAAGTAATGATTATGAAGAATATTTAAAGTTTTAGGATCATATGTATTTACAATAAATACTAGTGTTTATAAACTGGCTTTTATTTTAACTTTATATTTTATTTTGATTTCAGATTTCTATATTTTCTATATGTAATTGTTGATTGGACTGTTATTATTACTTCTTTATTTAATTGTGTGGTGGCGTGTTGTAATTTTATGAAGAACTTTCTGAAATGTTTGTTTTGAAATGTGCTATGTAGCCTTTTTATGCAACTTTAAATGAGAATAAAAAATGTTTTGTAATTTTGTCTCAGCGTTTTTGCAGGTTTCCTTGAGAACTGTAGTATTGTTGTTATTTATTTTGTCAAGAAAAATACTAATCAATCAATCAACCAACCAATCAATAAAACGTTATTTATACAGCACTGTTCATACACAAAAGGAAACGTAAAATGCTTCACAAATCAAAAACAATACTACAAAAACAATATTTTTTTTGTTGTGTAATATTTTGTTAAACACTTACATTAACTGATGTTCCCCACTAGGTGGTGACAATGTAACGTCAGTTCCCAGTACACCATTATCATACCATCACCGTAGTGACGTGACCTAATTCACAAACTGATTGAAGCTGATATTTAACCTGCAAGTCTGACCTCGAGGAACATGACCTGCACATAAAGATGTACTTGTAAGATCAGTAGTGGTAGTGGTGGTTGTTCTCTTCAGCCTACTGGTCTGAGGCTGGCTGACCTTGGACCCCATGACATCACAAAACCCAGCCAGCCTCAGATCAGGTGCACCTTCACTCAGAAAGTTACCACTGACACAACTCTAACTAAAGAAAAAATAATAACAGATTGTCAACAGTGGCAGAACAGCTAACCACATTTTGCCCAGAAAGTCTGACAGGAAGGGAAAAATAGCCCTTTATCCTGTAGGAAAATAAAAAATGTGCAGTGTTGGCAAATATAAAATGTCACTTTCTTCTTCAACAAAAGAGACAACCACTTAAGGACAACGACAATTATACAGATAGACATGTATATGTTGTTTTTTTCTTAAATGTGCATTTTTTACTCTTTAATGTCAACATTATCATAATTGATTTGATGTTTAGTAGGTTTTCTTTTGTTATCTATATACTGTAGTATTACATATTGTTATGTACTCATCACTAGATAAACATGTATACAGTATATTGTTTTATTTCATTATCTACTCAATTCTATTCATTAATATTGTTGTCCACTTTATTTGTTGTAAATTGCAATATTCATTGACATTACATTACATTGCATTTAGCTGACGCTTTTATCCAAAGCGACTTACAATAAGTACATTCGACCAGGAAGACACAACCTTGAAGAAAACAGAATCATATAAGTACATCAGGTTTCATAGAGCCAAACATTTCAAGTGCTACTCAACTGGCTATAGATAAGCCAGTCCTGTATTAGTATATAAGTGCTCTGTTAGCAGTTCTTTGTTAGTAATTCTATCGCTCGAAGTGGAGTCGAAAGAGATGAGTTTTCAGTCTGCGCCGGAAGGTGTGTAAGCTTTCTGCTGTCCTGATGTCAATGGGGAGCTCATTCCACCATTTTGGAGCCAGGATAGCAAACCCACGTGTTTTTGCTGATGGGAACTTGGGTCCCCCTCGCAGTGAGGGTGCAGCGAGTCGTTTGGCTGATGCAGAGCGTAGTGCACGCGCTGGGGTGTACGGTTTAACCATGTCCTGGATGTAGGAAGGGCCAGATCCATTCGCAGCATGGTAAGCAAGTACCAGTGTCTTGAAGTGGATTCTAGCAGTTACTGGAAGCCAGTGAAGGGAGCGGAGGAGCGGAGTGGTGTGGGAAAATGTAGGAAGGTTGAAGACCAGACGAGCCGCTGGCTACTTTCATTATTGTTTTTGCAACATATGTCATACGTCCTGATAATACATCCTAATGAGCTGAATTTAATATCATAAAGTAGCAGAGGTAGTATTTGTAGTATTACTAATAGTGGTAGTACTAGCAGCAGTTATAGTGACAGCAACAACAGAAGTTCTCTAGTTTTCTTTGTAAAATTATTCATTAAAACATGCGTGGGTCTTTCCAGTGAAATTAATGCATCCATTAAACATTTAACAATAATTCTGCATGTTTTTAAACCTCTGTTTTTATGTAATGTTAGGGGGGAAAAGGTGCCCACACTTGCAAGCAAGCAGAGCTCCTAGTGTAAGAGCACATTTGTTTCCTCAGTTTGGCCTTTTGGATAGAATTCAGAAAAAAAAACATCCAATTCGAATTATTCTGCCTTTTTAGTATTTAATGAACTTGATTATACACCTAATTGAATCCTTTTTCTTTTTCAGATTTGTAGTTTGTTCTTAATAATAGAAGGCCATCTTTGTATTGTTTCTGATTTCAAATTCAGCTCAGAGTAAAGAATAACACCCAGGTATTTTTCAGGTCCTGCTCCACTTAGATCTATCCTCAACAAAGCACCTGAAGATCGGCTTCCTCTGTGATATCCGCCTGTGGAGCTTCCTGTCTTTAAAGCCTGAGAGAATCCTTCCTCGCCCGGCTTCTTCCCCTCATAGCTCTTCACTGACAGGGGCATGGAAGAAGCAGTGAGTTGACCCATTTGTCCTCGCTGCTCTAATCCCCTGAAGTATTAATCGGTGTCTAAACACACAAACAGGAGGATGACAGCAGTCTGCAGGATCAATTTGCCACAAATTAGATACAGTAATGGCTCATTTCTCCACATAAATAGCTGCATTTTGTAAATCTGCTCACATTCACCCTGTTCCTGCTCCGTGCTCCACCCTTGACTGTTCTCCCCTATTAATCTTATCAGAGCACAGATGCACTTTGTTTTCTAGCACGCAACACTGCCTTGTTTATTAGATTCTGCTAACAAAACAAAGACTCTATTATCTTCCAATTCTATCTTTTTATGGAAATGTAATAAGAACTGACAATTAACTGTGAAATAGGTTTTCTCAATTTTTTAAGGGAGAACATTTGGCTTGAAAATAACTATTTGTTGTCTTCATTATTACTTTTCATATCTTACCTTTGGGCGTCTTTAAACTTGGATAAAAACTCAATAGTTTTGTCTAAGAATGTCTTTAAGGTCATAACTACGGTGTTTCATCAGTATATTTAGAATGACTAGGTTGGCTATAGGTTAGCTAGCTAGCTCAAAGCAGATCTGCAATAATATCGGGAGTAATTATGCGATCATATTTCAAAAATAAGCAAATAAAACGTAAATTGTATACGTTTCTAGTGACAGTTGGCCAACCTTATATTCCCCGAACTTCAACGAGCGCAGGTCCACCTGTGTGCGTCACTTTTTAGTGTCCCCGTATCCATTATGTTTTGGGCTTCTTCCAGCGTTTTTTATTTGGAGCGTTTCGTTTATGCAGCTCTTTTAATAAACCCTGCGCATATTTCAGGTTTTCTAAATGCTGCGCATGTGTTAAGTTTTTTAAGATGTTTCTTAATTTGCATGGGTTTTGGCACATTTGTGTTTTGCATCGTTTTTGAAACTCCAGCCCGTTGCTCCTAATGGAAATGTTTTGGGCCAATGCATCAGCCACCGTACATATGGTCCAAAAAATACATATTTTCTTCATGTTACATAAATATGTCCGAGCATGATATGACCCACAAAAGTCTGTTAAACTTTGCGTATCAGAACTTAACAGATATTTGCATCTCAATACACCTTTAAAATGAATTTCTAAACTTTAACAATATCACAAAGTACATGATATGCCCTAAAATACTTATTATGACACATCTTTTGGTAATTGGTCCGAGCATTTTGGAGGCGACGACAGCCTGCCAGGTGACGTATGCCGGGGGTGAAATGGATTGAAAGCAAGTCTTTGCAGCTGTGCTCTTCAGAAATGAACCAGAGGCAACAAAGTGACATGAGGGTGTAAGACAGGAAACACAAAGTGATAGACAGCGTCCCACGGGGAAGGAGCCCTCGCCCGGAGAGACAGGTGCATGACTTGCCATTATTAACGCTAACATCAGCAAATACTTTTTGGGTGACCTGGCATGCCGTGGAATATGATTGGAAGATAATAAATACTTCCGAAAGTCAGAAGTAAGCCTTTAATTTCGTTTTTTTATGTAGCGGAGACTTTAGGACATTACATCAGGATGCTCTTCAACTGTTCTTCAGTTCAACTTTTTGATACAGTTTTAAATCTAAATGAATCTGTAAAGCTAACAGATTTTGTGTATTTTAATTCAAGTGAAGGCAACACATGTAATCATGATAATACTTGTGAATTGAGAATAAGGACATTGAAAGGCATATTTTGTATTGGCACAAGTTGCATTAGGTCTTGAGGGGGACGGGTTATTAACCATCCCCCTCAGAAAAGAAATGAAAAGCAGAAAAGCATGACATGGGACCTTTAAGCTTCTGACTTTGGTCACGATGTGCTCGCATACTCCTTCTTGCATCCTGAAAAACCTAATGCACCATACTATATGCATCTCAAACGGGATCGATGAAAGAGAATGTTTATGATGATAAAAAGACAAGGAAGAAAGAGTAATGGATGTAGAACATGTAGGATTTAGAGTGTTTTAAAAATGTTGCTATTCCATTGTGTTTGACCTCAAGGACAAACACAATGAATTTTTGTGAGTTACACTGAACATTACCATTATGTTTTATGAGAAGTGAGTCTCCCATTGCCTTTATTGGGACCCGGATGTAGGCCATTTTACAAGCAATAAGCTGGTTATCAAGTTTGATCTTTTGATAATAATAATAATGGATTACATTTTTTAATTAGAGCGCTTTTACAGGTGCTCA